ATATCGTTTCACACAAATGAAAGGAATGACTATTGGTGTGTTGTCGTCTATGCTTATTCGCAGAAGGTCGTCGATAAAGACGTACTTAGGGGGGTTTCTTTCTTGTTGCGCGCTGGCGTTGTACGTGGCAGATTGGCGGTTGACCAGAGAAGCGATAGTGTGGCTTCCGCGTAAGGTTAAGTTAGCTTGTCCCACACGACTTATGTACCTACTTAGTGAGCACAGTAGGTAATCGTGATTATTATAACGCACTATTACTGATAGGCGACAACTGATGAGAAACTACGATTGAAAATAATCGTTACACTTTAAGGCACTCTGTATGCCCAAAACTGTTATTATAATTGTAAGTAGGTTTCAATTATTCAAAATTTTATACGCAAACGAGTTGTCGTAAATTTATAAAATCTATTGGTAGGTATGTGCAAAAATGAATCTCAACCTAGAAAATATTATGTAAAATAATAATAATCAGTTATTTACAAAATTGGTTTGGAGTGTGTATTCTCACTCCATTTTTAAAAGAAATTTTGATTAACTTATAAATAATTATGCATTTTTAAAACTTTCTATCTTAAAGTTATAAAATAAGCAAAATACTTATCAAAAAAAAAAAAAAAACATTTCAATTCAATATTTTATCAAATAATATAGATTTAATCATACCTATATCTATTCTGTCTGTTGTATTTTTCAAATTTGAGTTACGCTTAGTAAGGTATGCAAAGTTATTTGGTCATTATGAATTTTAATATGTTTTTAATTTTGTTTACCTCTAAATCTTCTTTCTTCTTACAGTCATCGAGATACTTTGATATATAATATCGCAGTTTGTTTATTCCGACGACACTTATAACTACAAACGAAAAACTGCAAATAAATACTTTTGATGGATGCATTTTCAAATAAACGATTTAATTCAAATTAAACGTATAAAGATCGACTTCAAATGTATCAAATCAATAAATGTTATTTATTCATAAACTCATAGTGATGAATTTTTAAACATAATATTGTTATAATGTTTATATGCTTTAATATTTAAGCCAGATAAAACATATTAACAAACAATTATTATCGTTTAATTTTTCAAGTATTAAGTTTACATTAAGTCATTAATATTGTATCAAAATGTATAAAATATAATGTCTATTCATAATAGTTTTATCACATTTTTCATTACTTAAATAATTTAATTTTTATTACCTAATAGATAATATATTTAATTATATAAATGTTTTCGTTCATCGTTCACCGTAGGTTTCTATGAAATAATACAATGCAAGAATAGTGAATACAATATTTATTGTATTGATGCTTCCGTGAGTTTATATCAGCTATATCTTTATTAGCTGAACATTATTTTCACTTTGAATCATCAAGCTACAAAGAAATTGTTTAAAGAAATTTGGAAAAAAAAATAAAATTTTAATTCTTTTACTATTCTGTTTAACATAGTTTTGTTTTTTATACATATGTAAAATGTATATTAAATGTCATTAACAATTTATTCTATTATTTTGATTAAAAAGGTTAAATTTAATTCATAAATTATTTGTACTTATTTACGTGTTCCGAGTTTTTATGGTAGGTAATAATGGTATTGTTTAGATAATATAGGTATAGTTTTGTTTATTTAATGCTGAAATGATCTTGTTTTTTAGGTTTATATCATGTTGATTTTGGTTATACGTGTAGCGCATGTATTTTTTTTTTTAATTTCACTCAGTGATAATTCTTTAAAATATCTACTGCAATACCGAAACGTAACAACTTACCAACATTTTCTACTAGAGAGTCTTGATTATGTTGTAATAATTACAATACCTACCTATGTTTATTATGATGGTTATTCAGTGATGTATTGCTAAAATAAATCGTGGGTATACGCCTTATTCACGTAGATAAATATGAGTATAATGGAGAACTATAACTTTTATTTCTCTTAACAATATACTCGTACTATATTCAAAACAACAAATTGTTTTATCAACTAATATTTTACATTTTAAACAAAAACATTTTAAATGTAATCTTTTTGACTTTTTATACACATTGGAATCATATTGTGATACCACAAAAAAAAAAAAAGTATTATACAATCGACTATCGAGATATTGTAATTGCAAAGTTATTGATGTATTATATTTATCGAAAACCGTGATATGATACTATTGATATATTATTTCAAGGTGGATATATCCACCTTGTATTATTTAAAATTTTAATTTAGATTATTTAGAATATACGATAGATACGGCCGTATACCCGCGCATCATTAATTTGTCATAATCTATACGCCATGGATTCAAATAGTGTATTAGGTATACGCCGTATACCCCCCAATACAGCACTGGATTTATTCAAGAACGACACGTGACACGGATGGTAGAATAAAAAAACGCTACACTAGGACAACGAGTAGATGAATTATGAGATAATTTGTAAATTTTTTTATACGATTTTTCCTACGCAAATCACAAAACCTCGTCCCACGGACAAATTGTTTTATATGTTTTATAATTTTATCATAATACAACCGCCATCGGGACAAAGCCGTTTTGCCGTTCTCCATGGAAACGAAGTATTTAGGTACTAGTTATTTCGTCATAATTCTTCGTGTTTTATTTTCTTACGAGAACTGTAGATTATTATTTTTTTGGTAATTATACTCTATTTGCATGTTGTGGTAATTATTTTATTTTATAGATTTATCCATTTGTTATGTGTACAGAGGTTTTTTAACGTGTATGCCGCTCCGCCAGTAATAAAACATCTCTACTATAATTATAATAGATTCCGGTAAGAAAATCATTTGATCACTTTAAACAATTTGAACAATACATTTTAATTTGTAATATAGGTATATCTAAATATTATTATTATAACATTTTATATTTTTTTTAATAACTGCATAAGATTTTACCAATTAAAAATATTAATGAGTTAATATATTTTTTAACCTTTAATTTTACTAATTTTTTTTTTTTTAAGAGTAAAATTTATTTTTATTAGTTATTATTACAGTGTAAATCTCAAACTTTAAAAATTAATTTTTCTTGCTTTAAGGTTGGCGATGTCATCGATGATAAATTTCGTTTGAAGGTATAATAAAAATACCACTGTTTCAGCCCAAATTTGCGCCCCTGACGCAGGCCATATCCTTGTTACGCTACTGCGTGCTAGTTTAATAAAAAACATGTCTAATGTATTTTTTTTTAATGCTATTTTTATTTAGTATGTATAAGTATGATTTTTAATTCTTAAAAATACATTACTATTTAAAATGTCTATGCCCATCTTTAAAAAAACATTTATTTTTAGCAACACAATAATTATAGTCCAGTATATTACGATTAACGACCATAAAATGATTATAATGTCTTTCACGAAAAAATAAATGAATAACAGTTAATCAGTTTATAAAAGTATTATTTAATTATTGATATTGGTATATACATAAAACTTTTGTCATAGCATATAGTTATTGTACTTATCGGTAGACTCTATCAGTCAATAACTTGCTCATCGAACAATAACTAAATAGTCAGGTGTCTTAAATTTACATATACACGGGTAGGTACACAAAAAACCAGTTTTTTTACGTAAGATTCTGTGGTACTATAGATCACTTACATACAATTAGATTATTAGTTTTATTTTTAAATTTTAACATTTAACAATTTTGAATAGATAAGAAATTTATCATTTTTGAATACAATATGAGGATTTAAACAGAAATATTTTGAACAAGCTAGTTGAATGGGTGACCATGTACGTTATATTGATCATAAAATAAATATACTATAGTTAGCATATTTTTTATAATATTTCCTACAATATATTAACTATTTCAGATTTATCTATAAACTGTGATAATTTCAAAAAGTAGATTTAATAAAAGTTATTGACTACTGTTAGTTTAAAAATATTCTCATAAAAATAACCTTAAAAAATGTTATTTAGAAACCTCTACAGTGGTGTATTTGATGTCATTGTTTGTGTTTTATGGATTGTCGTTGGTATTAAAATAATTTCTAATAAAAAATTACATAAGTTACTAATTTTAACTCATAATTCGATCAAAATGAATATTTTTCAATTATTAAAATAGTCAAAACATTATGTTAAGATTTATATAAGTACTCAAAGCTGAATGAATACCAACATTTATAAATTATAAATGACGTGCGTGTAGCGTGTAAGTTTACAAACCATTATATTTATTTTAGACACTTTTTGACTGTTTGCGTATATAACACTGACCTGATATATTCGTATGGTGAAATATGAGTTTCTTGTTGATCAAGAAATTGTTCAATATAAAAAAAAAGAAGAAAACTGTCAAAAATGCAGACGAATTCAAACGTTCACTAAAAAACTTAGAAATCTTTAGGGATGTGCCAAATGAGACTGTTCGTCGTATCGACGACATCATGTCGACATTAACCACAATGCTATTATTATCCGTACACGACCGGAGTTTGTTGGACCATCGACTAATCGATCAAAAATTAAAGTCTCTTGTGGAATACTTTCAGCAAGACGTACTTCTACGAGAATACGCGAGCCGTGTTTATTCGAAGCAAGTATCATTATTTAAGAATTATTATCTTAGCAATAAATATTAAGTATTATCTTGATATCGCGAATTATAATATACATAAAAATATACGATTTATAAATATATTATAATGAGTACATATTATTTATATTTTTCTTCGAACCCATATTATATTGACACGTTCGAATCTGATCGCGTCTTGTTCAATAAATTATTACGAAATTTATCCGATTTGTTATAAATCTGTTTATATAGTGTTATCTCGTTTTAATTTTTTCTTATTTTTCTTATGCGTGTTTCAAATTGCAATTATATTTTTGAACGATTTAATTAACGGTATACAAACTTTATGATATTTAGATAATTGTATTTATTACCATGCGATAGTGGTTGGCACGCGCCCAGAACGTTTTTATAGTAGTTATACACGCATTAGATGACATATTTTGTTTGTTTCAACATTTTTTTCGTTTACTCACTGTACAATTTAAAGAGTATACTCGTGTAGTAATAGTTAAAGCAGATTTCCACAGTGGGCGAAAAGATATTTTTTTATTTTACGTGATTTTGAATACAATAATTGTTATTTTACAGAGATGAGCTACTTCGTTATAATTTAGTCGTCAAAGAACTATTTCAGGCTTGTGAGTTATTAAGTTCCCAACTAAGAAACGTGTTATATTTTAACTCTCGAAACGCACGGATTGCCGAAATGACGATTGAAATCGCCCAGTCGTCAAAACAGTTCAAAGAAAAAAGTAATTTTTCGCTTGTGGCTATATAATTTAATTTTAATTATTTAATTTAAAAGTTGAAATATTACATCCTATTCAATAATAATTGTGGTAACTCCAGTTGTATATCCCGAAGGAATAAGTTAGGTATTAACCCCTCTCTCTTTACTGAAATGTTATTGAATAATTAGAAATGAATAATGTTAGTCGATGGTATGAAAACCGGAGTGGCGCGGTACTATCTATCCTCTTCTATCTAACCAAAAAGAGTGTACGGAAACACCACTGGGTAACACTTAAACCTAGCAATACTCAATATTTACATATAATGTGGTAAAAATAGTAAATTACGATTGAGTTTGGCATTGATTTGAGCAATATTTTTAGTATTGCGATGAGCATACTTTTATTTTTGTTTTCCAATGTTCCAAATTTGTTTATAAAAAGGGTTTTTAATATTGGTGTTTAATTTTCTTTAAGTTTAGTACTTACTGACCGTGTGTAAGTATGTTATTAAATGTTTATATTTTTATTTTTGTAACAATATAATATGTATAAACCATAAATTTCATAGTTATTGAATTTTATATTATTTTGTATCTTGTGTTTCATAATTGTCAATTTCAAATAATTTAAAATTAAGTTGATTTAATGTGTAAGTTATGAGTTACCAACATATTCTAATCAACCTCGTATAATGTTGAGTAATGTCATTATATTTTTGAATAAATAAATAAAAATAGTTAGAAAACTTGTAATTTTAAATATGACTTCGTTACTAATTACCTGCTGTAATTGTAATTTGTAACCAGTTAAGACTAATATAGTACCTAACTATACGTAAACTGTGCCCAAATGATTTTTTTTTTTTTTGTAAACTGCGCCCGAAATTTTATCTATATTAAAAATGTGTAATGTAAACTGCACTCAACAACTTAAGCTGTGCCCCGTTTGTAAAATATACAAAACTTTTGACTTATTAAAGTCTCTATGATTGGATTGTGCACTTTTTCAATTATATCACAGAAATTTTATTTTTGTCTAAAAATACCAACACGATATCGAATAACGAATAACTCTATTGCATTCTAAAAAAAAAATAAAAATCGTGAAAAGTTACAAAATTGAATTAATTAACATAATAGAGGTCAAATTTCAATTAATTTTAAATTTAAATTTAAATTATTCATATTATATGGTTGTAATTAATTAAGTATGCCTAAAAAATAATTTTTCAAAAATATAGCTATTGATTTTTAAAATTTTCTTGGGCGCAGTTTTACATGACGTCATCTTTTTACACTTGATAAAAACTGAAGCACAGTTTACGAGTGTGATTTTAGGTTTATCTGTATTTTGGGCGCAGTTTACAATCGCTGACTTATGTCTTTCCTACCTCCAATGGCTCCAATTATATATCAAAAATATAAATGAAAAGATTTTTCATAAACTGATAAAGTTTGACTTATGACTGTCTTTATATCAACAAGCAAATTTTCTTATTAAATAAATCATATTGCAATTTCTACGTAATTTTGTGCTCGATCGTAATATTTTTTTTATGTTGACTGCATTCTTTGTTTAATAAAATTGTAACTGTGCTTAGTCATTTGTTAGTATTTCTATGATATTTATTATAAATAATTTAGTTTTTTCTTAACAAAGCTCATTGGGGGAGGGAGATAAGATATAAATGGAAATAAAATAAATAACCAACTGACATTTCATAGTCTCGTAGTCGTTGAAAGTATTAAATTTTTTATTGTAAATAGATATTTACATTATTAAAGTAAATTTAATTGTATTTGTGTTTACTGTGCTTTTATTGTAAAGGAGAAAAAATCTGCGTAGATGTAGAATTGGCGATTAAAAACCGCATGATGCACAAGTGGTCCATATTAAAAACTTCAACCGACCAGAAATCACTAGAGAAATTTCTGAGCGAATTAACTGTAAGTCAAAATTAAACTAATTGTACATCATAACTCAAAAGTATATAAATATTACGGAAAACTTTTACATATTATATTAGGTATTTTATGTGAGCGTGATAAATCTAAGATGATATCATAATCTTTCAAATATTTTAACTTTGAAATTTGAACTTTTCCTAAATGGATAAATTATTATCGATAAAAACTAAGTGTATTAACATCACATTTTAACCGCATGGACGAGCTCAAGTGGTGGTATTATTTTTGATATACGTACTCACCACTCGGTTATATACAGTATTCATATTAAGAGATTAACGGAGGGATAGTTAAAGTTATTACAAAAATAATTTATCTTAGCCGATTACATTTTAAACGAAAATAATGTTAAAAAAAAAAAAGTATCGTATATATTATCCTTTACATATTGCTATATTATTTTTGTCATTTTAATGTTGTTACCTTAGTCGAAGATGGATGAAAATAAATAAATATTTTGTCACGACATTTAGTTGTGTTATTTTCAACGAATCGTGTCTGGTATTGGCGTATTTTAAATAAGTACAATTATTGACAATGACGTAAAATAAAGATCATCATAATAGGTATTTTATTCTATATAATGACGTGATATTTATATTTCTCATACATATTATTCTGAATGAACTGACAAAAACAAAGAAAATCTAGTCTCTTTATTTATTCGATTGATATTTTTATCGGTTAAAATGTAAATATATATATATGATTAGTTTTTGTTTTCCAGAAAATTTCTAAATTTAAGATGATATTAGTTAAAATTTTTCTTCCCTTAATTATTTGAAACTCATGCATATTGTACATTCCTTAATTTAAAGCAAATGCACGCGTGAAATATTTTTCTATACAGTTATATTGTTCTATATGTTTTTTTTGCGTATGGCTCTTTTGTCTAGGAGTAGGCCTAGTTCAGACGCCTATTTAGCAGAATTTTCAGTTCTATATGTAATCATTTGTCATACATTTTCGATGTGAAGTTTGCGAAATTATGATTTGTTTAATTATCACACGTTTATTTATTATCATGAATCTAATAGGCCCTCAATTTAGGGGATAAGTCTGGTAAATACGCATTTCTATAATATGACTTACATAATATTATACAAGACGTGTGGAATATCTAGAGACTGAAATATCTTATCTGTATCTGTTATACATAATATAAATAAATTTAATGTTTGTGGCTGTTTATTGAAGGGTATGAAAACGGCGATGATCTTGAGGCATAAACAGGTGGTTGGAATTCTGAAAAAAATTCAGCGACACGTTGATGCAGCTAAAATGCCACGCAACGGTGTCGCAGACTGCAATGAAGGATTTGACGTTTCCGCGACCGGGTCACAGCGATACATTGATTTTGACGATGGTGCCGCTGCCTCAAAGGTCATAAACGACTCAGATGGATGGGACACACCGGTCGAAAGCAGCTCTCGCGGGACTTTTCAAGATGTGCTGAGCGCATATATGTGTCCCGACTAAATTTATTATACACGCGTGTTATAATTAAAATACAAAGACCGCATAAATGTAACTAAATGGAATTGTTAACGCCATCATATAAAATGTTATATCACACAATTAAAAGATTGTAATATTTCCACACAGCAACTAAATTTATACAATACATGTAACTAAATGATATTGTTAAGATAATAAAGTAAAATATTATATCAATAGAAATGTTGTCCTCTCAACTAAAATTTATCCAACTATTAACTATAATATTATAATTATTTTTTTCCGTGCGAGTTGTGTCTCGATGATACGTAAAAGTGGGGTACACTTTAGGTTTTATGAAGTTTTACACAAGTTAAATAAAAAAAGTTTTTATAAATTTGAATCGAGAAATTTTTTCATTTCAATGTTGTATAAATACCAACATATATTTTATAAGATAGTTACAGAATAAAATTCGATTCTATCCATTATTATTATCGCGTGGAGATAAGATGTGCACGGAGCTATGACGATTGGCATTATACAATGTAAATACTGTGTACTCATCTATCTTGATTGTTGATCGTCTACTTTATTAAGATATTAACGAACTATATAATATTATATGAGTCTATGTGAAAATCGCGAAAAAAAAATCACGAAATATTTTAACAGCGAAAACACTAATAGTGAAAAGTAAGAAAACCTATATATACGTAGAATAACGTATATTGTATATCGATAACGTATATCTTTATAGGCTATTTGATAAAATATATATTATAAATAGGGCTGAGATTATAACTTATCTAATTTATCGGCGAGATTACGGTGTATAATTTAATTTAGATTTAGAGTTTCCACCACTTTAACTGTAATGCATTTGTTTGTTTGTTTTTTTTTTTACTAGTGGTGTTCGCACAAGTTATCAGGTGCTATGAAATAGAAATAGATTTTATGGTCCTAATCGCAACTCTTCTTCCCTGGGGTCAATGGCCCCCTACAATATGTTATTTTGAGATCAATTATCCGATATTAAGCTTTGATTAGTAGGTCAACGGCCGTCAGAATTAGCTATCGATTTGGAGATACAAAAGGCCGTAAAGATTACGTACAAGATATCTAGCCCTACTTCGCCTAATATAGAGTCAATGGCCACTATATTGGACAATATTTTGGTGATGTCGAAGTCACCGGCATGACAGAAAGTTATTTCGTATTGGACAGGGAAATGTCTTATTGGGAAACGTATTTGACGGAGAAGTGGGTACAGGGAAACGTCTGACGTGGAAGTGTACGTGAATCGATTGAACTTAACCATTACTGTGTCGTCCGTTGCCCGATCTGTATTGTTTTATATTTAATTAATATCACACATTTTCGACGAGATATAATAGTAGTAATACAATATTATACGATTAATTTACTAGTTAGTCAAACATTAACCGTCTATTATGGAGCAAATTACTAGTGAGTAGAACAACATACTTTTAGTAATTGATGGTTACAAATTTTGTTTCCATAAATTATTAAAGTCCGATTTGCAAAGATGGAGATGTACTAAAACGTCATGTAAGTCTTTTATAAAAATTAATAACATTAATGAAATAGTTGAACGCAAAATAAATCATAATCATAAACAACTTGAAACATCTGTTCTAAATAGACAAAAAATTGGTAATGTTTTAAAAAGAAAAACTATAGACGATGCGTGTGAGAAACCGTGTAAATTAATTCACAATGAGTTACGCAAGGGTGACGTAGAAACACTAACTTCTTATGACATTTCTCGTATTCGTGATAATATGTACCAAGCTCGATCTCATATTTTACCAAACCTACCAAAATCCATTTCAGATGTACATGATATAATTGAAAATCTACAAATTTTATCAAATCGAGGGGAAAATATGATATTTATTAATGATCGTGAAAATAATATTATTGGATTTTCTTGTTCAACGAATTTAAAATTACTGGCTAAATCAGAAATGTGGTTCGTTGATGGCACGTTTAAAAGTGCTACAAAATTTTTTTACCAAATGTTCATAATGCATACTATTAAAAATGAACAATGTATACCATTATTATTTATATTATAGCCAAATAAAAGACAAAAATCATATTTCATAGCTTTTGAACATGTAAAAAAATATTTTTTGGATTTAAATTTAACATTAAGTGTACAGCGTATTCTTGTGGATTTCGAAATAGCAATACACTCTGCTATCACTGATGTGTGGCCAAACATAAAAATTAAAGACTGTCGCTTCCATCTGGGCCAGAGCTGGTGGCGAAAAATTCAAGAACTCGGTTTATCTGCAGAATATAAGGATCAATCCTCCGAAATAAGCAAATTTTTAAAGTACGTTTTTGGTTTACCATTTCTCCATCCAGATGAAGTAGAAAATGCATTTGTGTTTGATCTAATGTCTTGTAGTGTTTCAAATAATTCCGATATTCTAAAATTTGCAACTTATTTAATGGATAACTATGTCATGAATTATGCTTTATTTCCTCTTCGTGTATGGGCAGAATCGTTAAATTCAATGCTACGCACTACTAATAGTTGTGAAGCATTTCACTCGAAATTTAATTCTATGTTTTATTCAAGCCATCCCAATATCTTTAAATTTACTGAAGTGATAAAGAATTTGCAATGTGACGTTTACATTAAAATTAGAAGTTCTGGACAATTATTAAAGACAACACGTGAAAAACATTTATTTCTTAGTCAAAAATTAAATGCATATAAGAATGGACAAATTATTTCACGATTTGAATTTATAAAAACGGTATCATTTAAATTTTTGCCTAATATGTAATTTTATTAAAACTGTTAATGTAGTTATTTTTACTTTTTATTTATATTTATTAGGCAAAATAACATCAATTATTGTTATATTACATTAAAATTTTTACTATAATAATATGACGTTTTTTACACGAACTCCTTATTTTTCGTGTAAAATATAATATTTAACATACTTTTAATATTTTAATAAAAAAATTTCTCAATGTGAATTTATAAAAATTGTTTGATTTAAATGTTTGCTTTTTATGTTATATTATAAAATTATTTGTGTAGTTATTTTTAATTTTTATTTATATTAGTTTGATCAAACTTGAGGGACACAATTCGTGTACTTCAAAAAAAAAAAAAAAAACTGAGGGACACAATTCGTGTAACTCGAAAAAAACTGAGGGACACAATTCGTGTAACCTGAAAAATACATAGGGACACAATTCAGTATTTGGGACACAACTCGTTTGCAGCCGCGCTGAGTACTATTGTATAGACATTTTTATATGTTTTAATTTATATTTTTTATATGTAAATAAACTATATGCTGGTTGATATTTTCACGGAAATTGTTTAATGTTTAACTTGGCAGTGTATCTTTTAGGATACGTCAAGTTTGCGAATTTTAAACGCAATGATATTTAAAGATATTTTTGATTAAAGTTTTTAGATACACTGCATTACGTATGGTTTGAAAAGTAAAAAAATTGGTACTATATCACTATATCAATACATTATCTTATACAGTTATACTTAGGTTCTATAGTCATCTAGTTTTTTATGTTTTAAACTAGCGTGAGCCGGCGTTTTTCGATGTATGATTTTAGACGATTTTAATACGCAATTTACCATATTTTTTTTTTTTAATGTATTTTAAGTAGTATTGCAACATTCATGCATTATATAATATAATTAAATAATTTTTATGTATTAAATAAGTGTTCAAAGAATGTGTACCTTATAAGATACATTGCCATGAACTGGTCGTTTCATTAATTTTATTAATTATATCCTATAAGATACATAGTCATTCGTCAATTACTGATGTAGGTCTAGATATTATATAATAATTTTACTTTATAGATATTCATATTTCTTAAAATATTATAAATTATTTATCACAATTAATGTACTAATATATTATACATATATTTTATCTTCATGCTAATTTAGCTAACTTTCACCATGCAACGAAGAAGATCCCGAAAAATATTAGTAATGATTTTTCCAGAGAATAGTGGGAGTTTTGGAAACGAATTTAGTGACGATAGTGTAGATCAGCGGTTCTCAACCGGGGGTCCGCGAGTAGGTATTAGGGGGTCCCCGGAAAAAAAAGCGTAATGGCGGAAATGGTAAATTCATATCTATCATATATAACAATATATGACAAATTGGCATTTGTGGGTCCGTAAAGTAATAGTGAGTGGTCAAGGGGTGCGTGAATGAAAAAAGGTTGAGAATCGCTGGTGTAGATTATGTCGACAATTATGATTCTTATCCTTTATCATCTAATGCTGATGAGAGTGAGTTAGATGAACTTTTAAAAGATTTTAAGTCGAATCCAATTGTTTAAAAAAATTTAAAATCAAAAATAAGTTTAAAAAGTTAACATTAAGTTATTTTGTTTTGCATTGAGTTTATAATTTTCTGTTAAAAGGTATTTTATTTTGTTATATTTACTCTTTGACAAAATTTGTCGAATGCATGCGCATGATTTTTAAAAAATATACAGGTAATAATTATGATGTGGGATCAATTCAATATTATATTGATGATATTTGTAATTTTTACTTAACATTTTTCAAATATATAGATATGTTTTTAGGTCTGGACCGGGTGCAACTTTTTTTACTGACAGATTTCACGTTGTAGTACCTAATCAAAGTTGCCCTCCCCCAACAACCTATGCATAATATACTATACGTTAAATTACCGCGTATCAAGCTCTTTGATATATTTATTTTTAATCAATTATGTGTTTTCAATTAAATAATTTAGTTTTACTTTTCGAATTTTGTTTACGCTATATATTGGTTACATTAAAAGTCATATTTATAAATAAAGTTGTTTGAAATTTATAGTTATGACTTTATAAATTCTGAACGCTATTAAGCCTTTCACAAATTTTAACGAAATCATATGAATAGACAAACGTTCATAATTTAAGTTGCAGTATGTCAATATAATATGATCGATACACCATTCAGTTGACTGGTGAAAAAAATTCAAAATATTTAAATCTCAATTTTAAACTATACATTTGTACTAATTTCTTATTATTTTTATCAAAATGATATTATTTTTTTTTTTTTTTTAATTAGTGCTGATAAATATTCAATTGAACGTGATTGAAA